AAAAAAAAAAAAAAAAAAAAAAAAAAGAACTATACAACTGTAGTACTTTGGTATTGAAAAATTCCCATCTTTATGTTGAGTCCTAAGATGCCTTGTGTTTACTACTCCAAAGTTCACATTTACTCAGCTTTTCTCAAAACAAAGAGATGTGATGCTCAAATAATGAGAAGGTTATTGAATATTTGAGCAAACTTGAGATTATACCACAGCCCTTTTATTGTGAAATGATATGAATATGTGCCTGCCATTCATCAGAAGGAGATATCAGATCAGATCAAGGAACCAGCCGCAGTCAAAAGGAAATAGCCCCTGTCTTTTAAAAAATTTTTTTTGCTTGTATTTTTGCAGAGTCAGAGTCTGGCTGTGTTGCCTGGGCTGGTCTTGAAGTCAGGCTTAAGAAATCCTCCCTTCTTGGCCTCCCAAAGTGCTGGCATTATGGGGGTGAGGCCACTGAGTCTGGCCACAATTCTTGGCTTTAAAGTTTTCTTTTCTTGTTTTAGTGTGTGTGTGTGTGTGTGTGGTTTTTTTTTTTTTTTTGAGTTGTAGTCTAACTCTGTCACCCAAGCTGGAGGGCACTGGCACGCTCCCGGCCACTGCAGCCTCAACCTGCTGGGCTCAGGCGATCCTTCACCCTCAGCCTCTCGAGTAGTTGGAACTACAGGCACGCGCCTCCATGCCCGGTTATTGTTTTTTTGATTTATTGTAGAGATGAGATCTCGCCAAGTTATGCCTAGATAGGTCTCGAACCAGAGGGCTCAGGCAATTCTGTCACTGCAGCCTCCCAAAGTGTGCTGGAATTCTAGGCGTGAACCACCACAACCGGCTTCTTCTTTTTTTTTTTTTTTTTGAGTTGGGAGTCTCACTCTGTCAGGCTGGAGTGCAGTGGCACGATCACTGTTACTGCAGCCTCGACCTGCTGGACTCAGGCGATCCTCCTGCCTCAGCCTTCCAAATAGCTGGAACCACAGGAGTGTGCCACCATGCTCGCCTACTTTTTTGATTTATTGTAAAGATGAGGTCTTGCCAAGTTGCCCAGGCTGGTATTGAAGCCCTGAGCTCAGGCAACCTTCCCGCCTTGGCCCAAAGTGCTGGTTTTCTTTTTCTCTTCCTGTTTTCTTACTTGCCGAGAAACTGTTCTCTAAATTTACAGCCTGTTAAAAACTCTGACATCCTACCAGCAAGAAAGGAATGCCCCACTGTTGCGTGGGGAGTCCTGGTCACTTTCATTAGAAGCAGCCCCAGCTTGCCACCCAGGGGCTGAACTACAGACAGAGTTTGGAGATAGGACATTCCACCTTTATCTTGACCTTGTAGTTTGCAGGGAAGCATTCAGACCTGATGACAGCCGGATTATACCCATTTCAGTTTTGAGCCTATCTACACCGATAAAACAGCCAGCCTTCTTTTAAGTGTCCCTAGAATTCCACACTTTCCCTCATCCTGTAATAACTCCACCTCCTCCTTTGTTTGGAGCTTTCCTCAGGGGGTGTCACCTTCCACGTTGCTACAAATCAATACAATGGGGGCTTAGGTTTTGTCCCTAGCAGTCTCAGGCACATGAGCTTTAGGCAATAGGTAATTTTTATTTATTTCTTTTTTCCACGCTATTTGATTATTCTTTTTCTCTTTTAATTTTTTTTTTTAATTTTAAAGATATGTGGTACAATTCAGGGTTAGGTATACAAATGTTCATTATCCAGGTACCCTTGTTAATGGGGTGTGCCCTGGTAATTTTTAAAAAGGAAAAAACAGCCAGGCTTGGTGGCTCAGCCTGTAATCCCGCGGCTTTGGGAGGCTGAGGTGAGTGGATTGCCTAAGCCCGCGGCTTCGAGACCTGCCTAGGCAACTTGGTGAGGCCTCATCTCTACAATAAATCAAAAATGAGCCGGGCGTGGTAGCCCACGCCTGTAGTTCCAGCTACGGAAGGCTGAGGCAGGAGGATCGCCGGAGCCCAGCAGGTCGAGGCTGTGGTGGCCGGGAGCAGCCACTGCACTCCAGTCTGGGTGACAGAGTGAGACTCCAACTCAAAAAAAAAAAAAAAAAAAGGAAAAAAACAATGTACTGTTCTGGGTCAGCTCAGGTGAGCAGGTCAAGCTCTTACCTGATTTTCCACAAGGAAAACACATCAGGTCACTGAAACACTTCCCCACCTTTGTCTTGAGTTCCCGTGAACCAGACCTTGCTGGTGTATATTAATAATAAAACTTGGGCCAGGCGCGGTGGCTCACGCCTGTAACCCCAGCACTTTGGGAAGCTGAGGCGGGAGAATCGCTTGAGCCCAGCAGTCGAGACCAGCCTAGGTAACATAGCAAGAGCTCATCTCTACAAAAAAAAAATACAAATAAATAAAAGTAAATAAAATTAGGAGAGCGTGGTAGCACGCGCCTGTAGTCCCAACTATTCCGGAGGCTGGGGCAGAAGGATCACTTGAGCCCAGGAGGTCGAGGCTGCAGTGAGCCCTGAATAATAACTTGTTCTAACCAAGGCGGTTGAGCCCGACATCACGCAGCTCTCCCTGCAACCTGACACCTGTATAAACTACCAAACTCGCACCCCTCTTTCTCCAGAAGCAGGCCTTCCTCTGAGTCTGACCGTGCCCAGAAACTTATCAGTTCACGCAGTCACCGCCGGCTTTAATCCGCCCACGGATTCCAACAACACAACCCCCGCACACACCGCAAGCCGGCCTGTCCTCGCATCTCCAGGCGTGAGGGGCTTCCGCAAGGCTGCTACGTGGGGGAGGTGCCCTCCTCCCGACGCCAAGGTCAAGGGCGCGCTGGCGGCTGAGCACGTGGGCCACTCGCGGCCTCCCCTTTGCTTTGGGGCGGAGAGAATCTGGCTTTTGCCGACAGCCGCTCCCAACTGTAGGGACGCGAGCGGCCCTCCGCGCCCCCCACCCCCCGCCCCCACACTCACCCTTTCACGGGCGCCGCGGGCTCCCACACGTCTGCAAGGCGGCGCGCGCAGCACGAGCCTCGGGGCTGCGCGTAGACGGGAGAGATGGGGCTGCTGAAATCGTACATCGACCTGACAATCCCAACGGCTGAGATTTTGTACCCGCTTTCTGACCGCCCTCCTCAAAATGGATGGCTTAAGGGATTAGGGGGAGAAGGCACCGGCCAAGGCTACTGGGGATCCGGGCGTCCCCGGGGTAGGGCCCGATATTCCCCGAGCCGAGGGTCCTGCCCCCACCTCCAGCTAGCATTTCTTGCGGAATTGGTGCTCCAGTTCTGAGGAAGAGGCGGGAAACCCGGCCCTGCCCGCCCCCCCCGTCGGTCCCCTCCTCTGCCTG